GACGCCGGGACACTGTGACCGACATAACTACGAGCCAGTTGCCAAGTGTCCAACTTTTGATCATGGGACCACGGGGGATACTGCAATTGGTCATAAGCGTGAAAAACGGTCACAAGTCAGCAAGAATAATATTTGCGCCATATTGGAAAAATGAAGGAATACCACAGGATGAAGAAATAATTAAAAAAAAATACTAGAAAGCACAGAGATGGATAGATTGACTATGGGCCTGAAAGAAAAAGAAGAAACAGAATATTATCAAACTTGGGATTTATTTTACCGATGGCTAGAGGGAAGAATAAAGGATTAGGAATTAAATATGTATTAGCTTGTTCAAACTCAGACAGCACCTTGGTGGAAAAAGTATTATTGTATGTATGGAAAAAATTAATAAAAGCTTATAAAAAGAAAAGAAAAACGGTCATAAGTCACTTTTTTCAGTGGCGTAACTTTGCACGGTCACTAAATGGACTCTTGGAAGCTGAGGACCACCTGTACCTCCGAGTAACCGGCTCTCCATTTGGATGGATGTATCCCAAATGAGATCAGAGGCGTTTGCTGTCCTGTCAACCTGGGTACGATGGCCGCCCAGCATCACTTGGACAGCGTGAGAGGCCTCCTGCAAATTTAATAAATGTGTTCGGTGTAGGACAGGCCTGCACGACAGCGAAACATTCAGCTTTTCGTGTCTTGCGCACCTAGCTTGCCTGCTCAGTTCGTGGTTTGTGTGTGAAGTGAAACCACAAAAATGGGGTTGGGTTGGCTGTGATTGAGTTATGTGGAGAATGGCACGGGTGAGGGCAGATTTTTGTGGGCTTTCTTTCAAAAGCGCTGGCAGCCACCTCGGTTCAAAATGAAACGAACACATAGGCTGTTATTATGTAAGCAAACAAAAGTTTAAGGAAGCAAACTAACCTACATACCTGAAGCGCATCGGGTGACAGCTGGCTTGGAGCCGAGGCAGTGTCTAGGTCAGGGGTAGGCAACCTTGGCTCTTTTATGACTCGTGGACTTCAACTCCCAGAATTCCTCAGCCAGCAGGGGTGGGGAACCTTGCTGATCGGCCATAGTGTGGCCAAAACATTCGATGGTCAAAGCTGTGGTACCCCACCAGTGTCTATTTGTGTATTGTAGAGTTATTCTTGTCCGTGAAAACTGATGTGCGGGTTCTTTTCCAGGCACAATTGATCACATCGTGGTCGTCAGCCCCCTGATCCCCACACCCTTTTTTAATGTGCAACTTTACTTTTTTAGGAACGCAACCAAAATAAATTCGTATTTTTGGGGGGGTAACTTAAGGTCCTGTTGATTCTTTTTCAGAGAATCATAGTCAAATGGGACCTAAGAGGTCATTACGTCCAACCCCCTGCCTGCTGGAGGATTCACTACACCAAGGGTCCCCAACCTTGGCAACTTTTTAAGACTTGTGGACTTCAATTTCCAGAATTCCCCAGCCAGCATGGCTGGCTGGGGAATTCTGGGAGTTGAAGTCCACAAGTCTTAAACGTTGCCAAGGTTGGGGACCCCTGCAGTACACCATCCCCAATTTTCTTTTAATTTTGCAGATTTTCAAATGGCTGCCAATCGCTTAGCCCCCATGTTGTACAAAGATAGGAAGAGATTCTTGCACCGTAGGCTGTATTGCTTCCTGGCAGTGAAATTGCTTGTCTCAGGAATCTGATGCCCACATGAGTGTATTCATTTATCATTCAGGTAAATCTATTTTCCCTTCATGGGAAGAAAGCCTATTGCAGAAGAAGCAATTTGGGGGGGGGGGGCTGTAGAGGAAAGGACATTCAGAGGGGGAAAAAATGCTTTTTGTTTTTGTTTGATTTCACATTCTCTGTCTCCTCTCCCAAACACTATCAACCTTCTGTTGGGAATTCCATACAGTATTGTCATTTAAAATAGTGTGTGTGTGTGTGGGGGGGGGGGGAATCAAGCAGATTGTCTCTCCTTGGAAGCATTTTGCAAAAGGACTCCCCCTCTCCTTTTTTTTTAGCATCTTATTTGTGAGTCTTCCCCAACTTTCTGGATAGTTTAAAGCAGCATTCATTGGGATCCAGATCCTATGGGGCTGCTTGGAGGGCAGATCCATGCACACCATGCAGCAGTAGGGATGTTGTCAGAACATCTGTTTGCTCCCCTAAAACCATCAGCGCATAGTATTATCCATCGGATACTCCTGAATTTCTGAACCCCTTCCTTGTGTCCCGGCTTTCCTTCGCTTTTTTTTTTTTTTAATTACTTCAAGCCATGTTTGGCTGTTAACACCCGAACTGGCTGGATTGCATCCACCATCTGGAGCCACAGCTGGTTTAGTAACTTGGTTTGGTCACTCAGGAGAGCAGATCATGTACTGCTTTGACAATAAGGAAGGGGAAATCTCTGTCCTTCTAGACCTGGTTGAGCCATAGCTCTTTGCAGACCCTAGCACTGATGTTTTTACCTAGTTTGGTAATGAAACGTCTGCAAGAAAACAAACTCAGAGAGCACCAAGGACCCCACACTTCTGCTCCTTCCTCCATGTCCTCAAAATCTCCCCCACCTCAATAATAATATATAATAATGGACCTTGGAGGTCATCTAGTCCAACCCCCTGCTCAGGCAGGAAACCCTGTACCATTTCAGACAAATGGCTGTCCAGTCTCTTCTCAAAAACTTCCAGTGTTGGAGCATTCACCGCTTCTGGAGGCAGGTTGTTCCACTGGTTAATTGTTCTAACTGTCAGGAAGTTTCTCCTTAGTTCTAGGTTGCTTCTCTCCTTGATTAGTTTCCATCCGTTGCTTCTTGTCCTGCCTTCAGGTGCTTTGGAGAATAGCTTGACTCCCTCTTCTTTGGGGCAGCCCGAGATACTGGAAGACTGCTATCATGTCCCCCCTCGTCCTTCCCTTCGTTAAACTAGACATCCCCAATTCCAGCAACCGTTCCTTGTATGTTTTAGCCTCCAGTTCCCTGATCATCTTTGTTGCTCTTCTCTGCACTCTTTCTAGAGTCCCAACATCTTGTGGATGGAGTTCACGGCCCATGGCATTGGAAAGTGTAGTCTCCAATGCAAAAAGAACACTGAACCACAATAGGCAATTACAGCCCTTAAGCCCAATAATCAATGTGCCTCACAAGGCCCCTCACCCTGTCCTTCACAGCATCCCGCATATCCTAATAGTTGTAGCTTGTGAGAAATGGCACTGCGGCAGTTTCGACAAGGCAACCTTCCGACTCTTATTTGGGGAGGGGAGAAGAGTTGGGGGGGGGGATATTTGGAAGGAGTGTCTGGATAAAGGGTGGCAAAGGCTGCCAAGGGGAGGCAGCGTGCCCGTGCACACGGGTGTCCATAGTAACTCCAAATGTCACCAGGAGGCAGAGAGCATCGGCAGGAGTAGCTGCCAAGGGAAGAATCTTTCAGTTCAGCTCATCCGGCTGCGTTTTGGCTGGCAGCACTGGATCCTCTCCAAATGGGCAGGTTGGAACGGCAACCTTGCCATGAGCTGCAGTGGGCAGCAATGGCACTTGGCCTGAACATTCATTCCAAGAATCCAGGCGGAGCTGTGGGGAGGGAGTCTTCGGTTTCCTTCTCCCCCAAAAGTTCCTTCCTCAAAACATCACCCAGCCCTTGGCCCCATCGTTCCCAGTCCGCCACCCCTCCTCACACAGGCTCCAATTCCCTGCTTTCCCGCCGTCTTCCAAAATTGGGAGTTGCAATCCCAACCTAGTGCAAGGATACCGGGCTAAAGAACACCGGTGCGAATGAACCAGAGCGTATCAACCCTCAGTCTCTTGCAGAACAGTTCCGTGAATCCATCCGTTGAAGAGAGGGAGCGAAATGCACTTTTCCACCTGCGGTGCAGGGCATTTCAACTCACACGCACAAATCCACCCTTAGCCAGCTCTTCCAGGCTTCTCTGCCGATGCCCACGGGCACAGGGGGTGTGTGTGTGAATAAAAGCAAATGATTTAAGGCGAGGTGTCGGGTTAGGAACAGGAGGAGAGCCGTAGACAGCCCACCCTCCACACTACTCTTGACCCGAGTCCCACTCTGTAAATTAATGAAAGGGATGAAGGCAAGTTGGCTGGCTGCTGCATTATACAACTCTGACACGTCTTCCCAAGCCAGGCGCTGTTGGGATCCCCTTTGGCGACCCTCTGACAGGCAATGTCAGTGGGGGAAGGTAGATTCGCTTTACAGCCATGTTACTAACTAGCACAGTGGTTCTCAACCTTTTTAATGCCGCGACCCCCCAACCGGTCGTAAGTCGAGGACTAAACCGGTCGTAAGTCGAGGACTTTCCCTGCCCGGGAGCGCCGCACATGCGTGGTTCCGCCCCCTGCGCCGACCGAGGCGTAGCGGGCAAGCGGCAGAGACGGAGCAGGCCGACCACCAGCTGGCCCAGCCCAAGGGAGGTAAGGCACCCGCCGGAAAAGGGGAAAAAAAAAATGGCGGACAGCCTTGCTTGGCGACTCCCGTGAAATGGTCGATCGACCCCAAATGGAGTCGCGACCCATAGGTTGAGAACCGCTGAACTAGCAGCTATAGTGATTCACTTAACAACTGTGGCAAGAGAGGTCGTAAAATGGGGCCAAGCTCACTTAACAGCTGACTCGCTTTGCCACGGAAACTTTGGGGTCAATTGTGATCGTACGTTGAGGACTACCTACATAGATCCCAACGTCCGTAACTAGGAGAAAGGTGGAAACTATAATCCAAAGAGGACCCCGAACAGTGTCCAGCTGGTCTAAGACCACCCCTCTAAATCCTGGGGGAGATGTTGAGGCATAATTCCACCCTCTCCAAGGACCCCCTTTGGTCACAAACAATTCAGCACATTTTTCTTTTTCTTTTTTGGCTGCGATTATAATGATGCAAGATAACAGCAATTTCCTTCTTTGTTTTCTTCTGCTTGGAAGCCTTCAGTTCCTAAGGGGCTTCCTCATCAGCCCTCCTGGGGCCTCCTCTCCTGTTCTTCTCTGGGGTCCAGGAGAGTAGGGTGGGGACTGTAGTAGAGGAGGAGGAGGAGGATTTGGGAACTCAGATGGCTGCTTTCTGCTTCATTAACCCTTTCTTGGCTCCCTGGTGAATCTTGGAATCCAGCTTCCCTGAAAAGAGAGATGGGAAAAGAATGGGGATGGGAGGGTGGGGGAAACTATTCAGTACTTATTCTTCAAGGCTGTTTGTAATTCAAATCCACTGCAGGCACTAAGATCTCTCTCTCTCTCTCTCTCCCAGCCAGTGGGCTGCTATCATTGGATTTTTCCCATTTCAGACCACAGGGCAATTCCCCAAATCCAGCTGTGGAGCAGAAAGCCTTGAGAAGAAGGCAAGAAGCAGGGAAGAGCAAGAAAGAGGACTGAGGCTGCCTGTATGCCAGGCAAAATGGAATGAAAAGGGGCAGTCTTTGCAAAACAGGTCCCAAAAAGCGAACGTGCCACTTAATAAAGCTTGGAAACAGCAGGCAACAGAGGATTCTGGATGCAAACATCAGGACAAAAACTTTCATGTACCCTTACAGTTGCATTCTGAAAGTCTATGACAGTTTTTCTTAACTGTGGCAACTTTTAAGATGGGTGGGCTTCAACCTGCTTGCTGCCTCGGGAATTCTGGGCGTTGAAGTCCACTCACCTTACAGTTGCCACGGTTGAGAAATGTATTTAACTGAATCCTGAAGGAGGCCCTCCAATTTTTCCTTCTTCGCCATCTCTTCTCTTCGTCTCTCTTCGCTAGGCTAAGCCAACAAGTAGGTTTGTTCCACTCCACTCAGGACGGCGAACCGTAACCCGATGATTTAGCAACCCAACCAACTCTGGCTCAGTCGATAAGCCACGGTGAAAACAAATCTGGCTTTGCTCACTGTCAGGTCCCATTTCTTTTTCATCTCCCTCAAGGCAAGCTGCTTACTAATTTCACACATTTGTCCTTCTTTTGCTCAAACCCCCAAGTTGATTCAAAGCCGGCAAGATGAAGCAGTGGAGAAGAATGAAAAGCCGATGAGGGGGGCGTGATGCAGCTGAAGTCCAAAACATCTCCTGGGGGAAAACACTTGTTATCTGGCGGAGATTGTCGCCAGCTTAACCACAATAAGCAAATGGCCCTATAGATGCGGGTTTGAAGGACAAAGCATCCTATACAAAGAGGATTAGGGGACTGGAGGCTAAAGCATATAAGGAACGGTTGCTGGAATTGGGTATGTCTAGTTTAATGAAGAGAAGGACGAGGGGAGACAGGATAGCAGTCTTCCAGTATCTCAGGGGCTGCCCCAAAGAAGAGGGAGTCAAGCTATTCTCCAAAGCGCCTGAAGGCAGGACAAGAAGCAACGGGTGGAAACTGATCAAGGAGAGAAGCAACCTGGAACTGAGGAGAAACTTCCTGACAGTGAGGACAATTAACCAGTGGAACAACCTGCCTCCAGAAGCAGTGAATGCTCCAACACTGGAAGTTTTTCAGAAGAGACTGGACAGCCATTTGTCCGAAATGGTGCAGGGTTCCTGCCTGAGCAGGGGGTTGGACTAGATGACCTCCAAGGTCCCTTCCAACTTTATGATGATGATGATGATGATGATGATGATGATGACAAATTACAGGCTGCCGGTGCCCTGCCAGGAACTATCACCCGGTGCCATCACACCGTTCAACCAAGCAGTCTGCCTTCTGCTCTCTTGGACCGCGCAACTGGACCCTCTGCCATAGGGCTTCTGCCTTGCAATGCCCCACCTCATCTTCCTCCCCCACTAGAAGGATGGCCCCGCCATTTCAGTAGCTCTGCACGGCACGTCAAAGGAAAGGGCTGCCAAGAGAAGATCCTGATATTGCCTAGCTCAGTGGTGGCGAACCTACGGCACTCGGAGCCCTCTCTGTGGGCACACGTGCCGTTGCCCCATCCTCGCCTCCCCCCGCGACCCCTTCCTCTCCAGCAGCCCCCCTGAAGGAGAGTCGCCCTCGAGCGTGGCCCACGCGGAGCAGCGCAGCCAAGGACATGGCAGCCAGGCAGCGTAGACAAGACTCTGCCCTCACACCCCATCGTGCACAGCTGATGCTGCAGGGCATGGGCAGAGGGCGTGACCGCCATAGTGCTGCTGGGCTGCTTGGGCGATCTGCCGTGGGCCCTGGAGGCGGTGAGTGGTCCTGTGGGCAGGCGGGGCGGGGGGTTGAGTGGGTGCAGGGCAGGGGGTGGAGCGGGGGCGGGGCCAGTTTTTGGGCACTCGGTCTTTAAAAGGTTCGCCATCATTGACACCTAGCTCTTTTTTTCTTGCTGGATGAAAGGCAGATAAGAACCTGCTGGCCCGAAATGACCGGCCATCTGGCGGTTCGAGCCCTGGTAGCACCGTGGGACGGGGTGAGCGTCCGTCCCTCGCCTCTGGCTCCTGCCCTGCCCACCCAGCAGTTCGAAAGCATTATTTGCGAGTAGATAAATGGGCACCATTCTGGTGGGAAAGGCTAGCTGTGCGAGGAGAATGGGAGCCGGTGTTGGACCTGCCTGAGTTCAAGGCAAGATTGGCGGAAGAGGCCCTGGAAGATGTCATCAACCTGAACGCCGCTAGCCAGCTGGGGCAAGCTACTTTGTGCAAGGGACACACAGTGGATAAACATGCAGGCACAAAAGCGAAGGAACTAGCAATTAGGCTGCCAGGACTCCTCTGTAAAGTGTAAAATCTCCTTGACAAATGTATGCCAGGGCAGATATTTCCCTACAGGAGGAAGAGTGGTGGGGGTGAGGAAGGCACAGAGTGGGCCTTAGTCCACATCCTTGGTGCCCAGGCTTTAATTTTTGCATGCTGGATACGTACTTCCCAATGCTAGCTGTATTTTTTTCTCACCTGCCCTAAGCAACGGTTGGTTCTTGGCCCGATGTCTGTCTAAAACGGAGCCAGGAATATCTGTCAACAGCTTGCCAGGGACCCTCCTGTCAGAAGCCAACCAAGCCCTCTGGGAGGTGAGGAAAACCATCACCGACTGATAGATAACAGACAGGAATTTGATTCTGGAAGGGAGAAAGTTGATCTCCCAAGGAGAGAGGCATGCCACACACTCACTGCTTGAGCAAACAGGCGGGATCAAGATTTGCCAGGCGCATTCCTGTTCAGGGCTGTCTCGCCACAGCTGCCTGATCAGCTCTCACAACAACAGGCTCTCTGCTTCGCGAGACAAAGCCACAGTGGACGTCAGGAAATCAAGCCACATCAAGTCACACATACCAGTGTGTCTACTACAAACACAGGAGGGCGAGCCAGTTGCTGTAAACCAGGCCACCCCTGCAGAGGTACCAAGGCTGTTTCCCAATAGTGGAGACTGCAGTGATTTTACCATGCGCGTTTTTTTGACTATAATAATATAATGGCAGGGAGGGGGATGCCTACAGCAGGTTCACTAACAGGAGCAATAACGAAAAAGGAACCATGTATTCCACACCAGAATGACCTCCGATGTTCACGTAACACCTCGGACTCACTATTTAAAAATCCCCCCTCCTCTGAAAGCAGGAGGAGGTGATATTTTGCTGATTGCCCAGGAATTTGGTTGCTTTGAGGGCTCAGAACAAAAGGCCACGGATTTCGACATTCAAACACTCTGGAGATGCGGAAGGAGAAGCAGCCTTCTTTGGAAATCAGAACTTGGCACTTACTGAAATCCTTTCTGGCATTATTCATCATCTCCTGAAGGCAGAGAGCATTCATCACTCTTTAAAGGCAGAGAGCCAAAAAAAAAGGGGTGTGTGTGTGATTGGGTCATCTGTGCACCAGGGAAATTGGAGATTAGGTGACACAGCAGATTAGAAGTCAAATTCGGACATCTCAGCTGACCCTCAGTGGGTTGTTTTCCCCTCTTAAATAAAGTCAACAAAAATTACTTCTCCATCAGGCAATGGTTAGGATTGAAAGACCGAAAAATCCTGACCCCTGAAGTTACACTGACTCCAGTTCCTCAAATCAAACCACGTGATTGTATAATGTCCTTTAGAGACAAATGATAGTCCATCATTTGTCCATCATTACGAGTCCAGTTCTACAATTACCGTGGACCAGAAGTGAGACACGTTCCTTTCTCCCCTTCCCTTTGAGGGTCTGCCTTCAAGGGACATTTTGTGGTTTGTCAAACCCCCGTTTCCTGCAATTTCTAAAATAGGAAACTGCTGTAAGTACCACTTACAAACCAAGCCAGAATTTTTCTTGAATTAGGACACCTAAAGATGAAAAGAAAGAAAAAAGAAAGAAGGGCTTGCGGAAACCCAAGGCTTATTTCTCAGGACTAAGATCACCCCATTTCATTTAGACCACCAATGTAGGAGATGAGCAGGCTGAGTTTGAGGAAGGGGTCAAATGCGTCATCAGTCACGAGTCCCTTCCCGCCCGGTAAGAGATTTAAGTCCAGCTTACCATGAATTCCTTCTACTCTTATCACCTGCTAATTTCCCTCGGCTGCTAGTAGCTGAGATTCTTGTAGAGAGCTTAAGCTTACAACAAATCTTTATGCCCTTTTTGAACTGCCTGAATCTCCTGGTTTTCCAGGCATTTGACAACTGATTAAACGGGAAATCTGCACGCTTCTTTCTTTCTTTCTTTCTTTCTTTCTTTTTCTTTCTTTCTCTTTCTTTCTTTCTTTCTTTCTCTTTCTAATAATAATAATAATGATGATGATGATGATAATAATGATAATAAAGTTGGAAGGGACCTTGGAGGTCATCTAGTCCAACCCTCTGCTCAGGCAGGAAACCCTATACCATTTCAGACAAATGGCTGTCCAGTCTCTTCTTAAAAACTTCCAGTGTTGGAGCATTCACCGCTTCTGGAGGCAGGTTGTTCCACTGGTTAATTGTCCTCACTGTCAGGAAGTTTCTCCTTAGTTCCAGGTTGCTTCTCTCCTTGATTAGTTTCCATCCGTTGCTTCTTGCCCTGCCTTCGGGTGCTTTGGAGAATAGCTTGACTCCCTCTTCTTTGGGGCAGCCCCTGAGATATTGGAAGACTGCTATCTTTCTTTCTTTCTTTTCTTTTCTCTCTCTCTCTCTACTTCCTTCCTTCCTTCCTTCCAGGACAGTGGTGGCGAACCTATGGCACAGGTCCCAGAGGTGGCACTCAGAGCCTTCTCTGTGGGCGCACGTGCTGTTGCCCCAGCCTTGTCTTCCCCCACGACCCCCTCCTCTCCAGCAGCCCCCCTGAAGGAGAGTCGCCCCTGAGCGTGGCCCACGCGGAGCAGCACAGCCAAGGACATGGCAGCCAGGCAGCGTAGACAAGACTCTGCCCTTACACCCCATCGTGCAGTTGATGCTGCAGGGCGCGGGCAGAGGGCGTGACCGCCATAGCGCTGCTGGGCGATCTGCGGCGGGCCCTGGAGGCGGTGAGTGGCCCTGCGGGCAGGCGGGGCGGAGCAGGGGCGGGGCCAGTTTTTGGGCACTAGGTCTCTAAAAGGTTTGCCATCACTGTTCTAGGAGATGATTTCAGTTTTGGGAAGTTTCACAGTTTTGTGGCGAGCAAAGAATATGGATTGTCCTGAGGTACTTGGTACATTTGAAATTTGGGTCAGTGTATTTCTGTGTGTTCTAAAGTGCAACGTAGATATTAAAGTCCTTTTTAAATTGTAATGCGAAATTGGACACACCATGCTATCCAAAACCACCGTCTTGCTCCCACATCTCTATAGCACAGTCCTGTTGAGTTCTAGATTACAATCATGGGTCTAGAGATGTATTTTGAGCAAAGCCTGCCTTCTTCATAAATACAGGTCTCGGAGGACCACTTAATGTGCAATATATCGTTGCTTCCTCAGAGCAAGAAAGCACAGGGATAATCTCACATGTCAATAACGGCAGACAAATCCTTTTATGTGCCATCAATGCTGGGTTGCTTTGAGAGTTTCCAAGGGATGCACAACAAAACAAGGTTAACTCACTACGCAAGGAAAAATTAAACACGGTTTAGTTCTGCAGAAAGGATATCTGTGTCAGAAACTGTCACAAGTGGAGTAACTCTGGTGCTTCATAGGAAATATAAGACCAAATATCTTGTCTGAGATGGTATAGGTTCTCCTGCTTGAGCGGCGGGCTGGACTAGAAGACCTCCAAGTTCCCTTCCAGCTTCTATTCTATTCTGTTCTGTTCTATTCTATTCCATTCCATTCCATTCCATTCCACTCCATATTTTCTATTCTATTCTATTCTATTCTATTCTATTCTATTCTATTCTATTCTATTCTATTCTATTCTATTCTATTCTATTCTATTCTATTCTATTCTATTCTATTCTATTCCATTCCATTCCATTCAGGCCAGCCCCTGAGATATTGGAACACTGCTATCATGTCCCCCCTCTTCCTTCTCTTCGTTAAACTAGACATACCTACCCAATTCCAGCAACCATTCCTTATATGCTTTAGCCTCCAGTCCCCTAATCACCTTTGTTGCTCTTCTCTGTACTCTTTCTAGAGTCTCAACATCTTTTTTACATCACGGTGACCAAAACTGGATGCAGTACTCCAAGTGTGGCCTTACCAAGGCCTTGTAAAGTGGTATTAACCCTTCACGTGATCTTGACCTGGGTGTCTGGGGAAGTTGCTGGCACCACTGCTGCTGCCTGCCCCTAGTCCCACACTGCCTGCCAGGACTGTGTAGCTGTCAGGTAAGTCTAGGAGACCCCCTGAAGAAGGAAGGACACCCACCCTCCACCCCCAGTCATTTTGCCAGCCTCCTCCCTCCTTCAGGAATAGAGACCCGCTACTTACAGATTTTATGTTTGCCCTTGATGGGAAACTTAATCACCATCTCCTGGGGGTTAGAACAGATGAAGACAAATGGAGAAGCCGACTCCTGGCTCAGCTGGGGATACTAGAAGGAAAAAAGAGGAGGGAACAATAAAACATCAGCATTACAAATAGGTTATCAGCAGCCACAATAAATGAAGGGAGGAGAACTACCTACCAGGGAAGACTACAGGAATTGAGGGGAGAAAAATGTTTCAAGCCCTGCCACAACATTTCTTGAAATCTATTCAGAAGGAAGGCCAAGATCAAAGGGGACCACACTGTGCATAGACAAATCTCAGCAGCCTCTTCAAAAACAGCGCTAGAATTAACCTTAGGAGAGATTTTATACTGCAAAATTGCAGCCTGGCGGGGGGGTGGGGGGGGGAGAGCCGGTGCACCCCTTCCTTTCTTCCGAGCGTCTTCAAAATAACAATAGCAGGCGTAATTATCCCCAGCCTTCTGATTAAGAGAAGGTCTTTGGGGAAAGAAGCAGGTTGAGCTAAACAGGGGCAAAGATGCCACCAAGATGATCCATAATGATCAAGTGGGCACCTTTTAAATACCCCAAATGGTATCACAGAAGGGGAAAGCTGAGAAGACTGTAGTTCCGTGATCCCTGACAACACAGCGTAGAATAAATTTAAACGGCAGGATTTAAAGTTACAGGAAGACAAGAGTCTGGCTGAATAGCAGAAGACCTGTTCCAAACACAAGGAACAATTGTGTTAGCATCAACCGCCCAAAAGTGGTGGCCTCCCTTTCACCCAATTTATCCAAGCAGAATGGAGAATAGTTTAACGAAGAGAAGGACGAGGGGGGACAGGATAGCAGCCTTTCAATATCTCAGGGGCTGCCCCAAACAAGAGGGAGTCAAGCTATTCTCCAAAGCACCTGAAGGCAGGACAAGAAGCAACGGGTGGAAACTAACCAAAGAGAGAAGCAACCTAGAACTAAGGAGAAACTTCCTGACAGTGAGAACAATTAACCAGTGGAACAACCTGCCTCCAGAAGCGGTGAATGCGCCAACACTGGAAGTTTTTAAGAAGAGACTGGACAGCCATTTGTCTGAAATGGTATAGGGCAGTGATGGCAAACCTTTTAGAGACCGAGTGCCCAAACTGCAACCCAAAACCCACTTACGTATCTTCAGGTGCTGGGTGGGTGTGGCCCATTGGGTGGGCGTGGCTGTGATGGTAACGGCAGACTGGGTGGGACTAAAAAGTTTAATCAATCAATTCCAACTTTGCGAGATCTTTTTTTCCCCGCGAAAAGTTCAAATTGATTGAACCTTTTTTTTTTGCACACGGCAGCGGAGGCCTAAAGCGAAAAGGTTTTATAAAACCCAGCTGAAGGCCTAGGACTGGGGCGATGGCGTGCGTGCCCACAGAGAGGGCTCTGAGTGCCGCCTCTGGCACGTGTGCCATAGGTTCGCCACCACGGGTATAGGGTTTTCTGCCTGAGCAGGGGGTTGGACTAGATGACCTCCAATGTCCCTTCCAACTTTATTATTATTATTATTATTATTATTATTATTATTAATTTGAATTTAACTTGGATTTGTGCAGTGAGTAAAGGAGGGGACTTCTCAATTTAAAGTGTCCTTTCCAACCCTATAACTCTACAACCACTAAAAAAAATTAAATGCTATACAGAAACAACGGTAGTTTGGTGCCATCATCACCATCTCCTCCACCTATTCCAAAAGACCTGTGATTCTTAAAAAAATGATAAAAAGGTAAGAAACAGATGGCTATTCTCCCTCCCCTCCCCAAAACTGGCCATCTTCTGAGGTTCTTCTCTGGCAGGGACATTTCCTACAGAGCAGGCACAATCCTGGGGGGCAGCAGATCACCCCCTCACCCCACGAAGGACATCCAATCTGATGCTTCTTTGGGGCAAGGAGCACTGCAAGGGTGAATCTCCCTATCCCGGCCACCCTACTGCCAACTTCAGAAGGTCTATGCGCAGGGTGGTTATGGAGAGAGGACCTTAATGCTTGGCCAGATGGCTACAGCAGAAGGCCCCCATCAGGCAGCTAGGCCTCAAGCCACTGGGAACAGGAAAGTCTCTTCAACTGTGAAATGTCAGCTGGTGGAACGTCACGTGCGGGCGGCCTTCAGAGCCCCAACGGGGAAGCTGCAAAAGGCAGCTGCGTTGTGAAGGCCCACTTGGTGAGATGGCTTTTCACTTCTTCTCCCGTGGGGAGATGGTTAGACCGCGGGTCTTCTCCACAGCATATGCAGAGAACTGGCTCGTGGAGTGAGCAGGAAAAGCAACAGCAGTTAGCACTTACATACCGCTTCATAGCCCTCTCTAAGCGGTTTACAGAGTCAGCATATTCCCCCCCCAATAATCTGGGTCCTCATTTTACCGACCTCAGAAGGATGGAAGGCTGAGTCCACCTTGAGCCGGTCAGGATTGAACTCCTGGCAGTGGGCAGAGTTTGCCTACAATGCTGCATTCTAACCACTGTGCCACCAGATAGATAGATAGATAGACAGATAGATAGACAGACAGACAGACAGACAGACAGACAGACTAGATAGATAGATAGATAGATAGATAGATAGAGCAATAGCCCTTAGACTTATATACCGCTTCACACTGCATTACAGCCTTCTCTAAGCGGTTTACAGAGTCAGCCTCTTGCCCCCAATAATCTGGGTCCTCATTTTACCGACCTCGGAAGGAGGGAAGGCTGAGAGTCAACCTTGAGCTGGTGAGGATCAAACTGTTGGCAGTCGGCAGAGTTAGCCTGCAATACCACATTCTAACCACTGTGCCACTTGTAAACCATTGGATTTTTTTTGGGACCATTTCAAAGCAAGTCAGCTCTCAAAAAGTTCAAGAGAGGATCTGATAAATCCAGGCAAAGGCCTGCTTGGATCAAGGTTCTGGATCACTCCTGGGATAACTAGAAGCACGTGTGAAGCCCAGAAGCAGAGACTCCTTCAACTCCTGCCCTCAGCAACTGATTGAGATACGTTTCCTGTGCATACGGTGGAAACCTGACTTGGTTAATTCAAAGAAGCATTTCAGGGGAACAAAAGAAAGGGTGCCACCCCCAAAAGGCAAGGAAGGAATCCATAAAACGGAGCAACTTTCCACAAGAGAAAAGAATATAATTTTGACCGTTGGCACCAGTGAGCTCAGCCAGAAAGCCTCAGCATACTAAAATCACCCCCTACAAGAGGCATTTCAGAGCTCGATGGATTACTGAAGGAATTCATTTTAAGACAGAATCCCATACTTAACTGCCAAACGCTGCAAGGAACAAAGTCTGAATTCCATTAACCTACGATTCCCCCAAATCATCCTACTTCTCCAGGGCTGGCTGCGTTAGTCTTGTGCGCGTCTTCAAGGCTAACTGATTTCGGGTGTCAGAACTTCAGAATCAAAATCCTGCCGGCAACTAAGCTGCTGACTGAGCACAACAAAAGCAGAATTTCCACCAAGGCAGAATTTCTGTGTCACACATCCCTACTCAGCAGCATCGGCACAAGTCGCCCCCCACAGCAGGTCTCCAGCCAAATACCGACTATAGCTTGAGAGGAGAAAGAGATGAGGGTTATCCCCTGGTGGGCACCTGTCCGCTACTTTAGCTGGCACCATTCTGAAGTGATCCACCAGCTCTCCCCACCGGAGCTCTTTTGTTGGACCAGAGATGACCAGAACCACGCGCCATGAAAACTGCTCAGCCAGGGTAGCGAAAGGAAGCCTGGGGCTACCCATTCTCAGAAAAGGACAATTTCTTCTCCGATGTCCTTTTGCTTCTCTCAGCATTAGTCAGGCCTAGAAGCCAGGCACCCAGACTAAATGAAGCGAAGGGTTTCCCATCTGGGGAAGAATATTCTATTCTGCCAGTGTCGTTTAAATTTAGCCCGCAGCCGGCTTTCACTCTGTCCACAAGCCAGCTTATAAGTTGGAACCTAATCTAGTTTACAGCACATCAAGACAGAAGAGAGTGACAAACCCTATTCCCCCCCCCCCAAAAAAAGAATAAGAATTGGCAGAGGGTGACTGACGTGTACCCCAGGTTTTGGTAGTCTCTTTCTTGCAAACTGAGTAGGTGGGCAGGAGAGAGAAGTCCCGTTTCACGCCCCATAAAGCTGTGCAGCTGCCAGGCTAATATTTCAGGTACTTAATTACTGAGTAGGTATTTTCGCCTCTGTTCTGGCAGGAAATTGCTTGCTGGTCCAGCAAGAAAATTGCTCTTTTGCTATCGAGCAAAATAAAAATACAATGAAGGGTCCCGTTCCTGCCCCCGCCTCTTTTAGCAAGCAGATTAAAGTGCTGGCGCCAGGGACAACTGTGTCCACCTTTCCAACCAACAAGTCTCTTGAGAAGAAGCAGAATCGACCTTCCAGACAAAGAAGGAACTTGGCTCAAGTCCACTGGATCCTCTGGGGAAGTCCGCATTGTCAGGAAAATGGACTTTCTTGGTGCTTTCTTTTGCTTTTTTTTTGAAAACGCTTCGCTTTTCATCCAAGAGCTGAATTGAAGAACCTCCTTGGATGAAAAGCGAAACATTTTCAAAGAAAACACCAAGAAGGTCTAATTGTCTTTTTTTGGGGGGGAAGGTCAGGTGACCCTGGGGATGCTGCAACGATCGTGTGACAATCAGCCGTAAGTCACTTTTTTCACAGCTGTCACTAAACGGTTGCTAAACAAGCTGTTGTAAGTCAAGGGCTACTTGTGTATACCAACTTGGGTTTCTGAATGAAAAACAGGATTTAAATCTAAGATATAGAGCAGGGGTCCCCAACCTGTAGGCCGTGGTAGTGGGACAGGCTGGCCAGTGTGGACATGTGCGTGCACACACACCCTTACTTGTGCTAGGGCTGCGGGGTGCAAAAATGGGCTGCCACTGCACCACGGGGTGCAAAAACAGGCCGCCGCCACACTGCAAGGCGCGAAAGTGGATGCAGCCACACCACGGGGCACGGAAACAAGCCACTGCCACGTCATAGGGTACAAAAATAGGGCGCCGCCACGCTACAAGGCGCAAAAAGGAATGCTGCTGCACCACGGGGCACGGAAATGGGCCACCGCCACATCATAGGGCACGGAAATGGGCCACCA